TATATATATATATATATGTGTGTGTGTGTGTGTGTGTGTGTGTGTGTGTGTGTGTGTGTGTGTGTGTGTGTGTGTGTGTGTGTGTGTAATTACAATTATTTCTTTAGCAGGAATAAATATATATATATATATATATATTCCTATAAATAAAGAAATAATTGTAGTTACACAACGCATATATTATATAAATGCACATGCATATATGTATATAAAAACTGTGTATCTAAATTCATATATACGGAGTACCAAGTTTATGCATTAAAAATATTTATGTAAGACAGATTTTCCATATCTTATATATTTATATAATAGATTTCCATCGTAAAAACAAAAATATAGAGAAAAGGAGTAATTAGGAGTAATATCAAGTCAGTATAAATTGATTGATTGAAGCTTTATCATTATGCAAATTAAAACGTACGCGCTATAAATATTACAATACAAAATGATTCATAAAAACATCGTCTAAATTAAAATCCTTCTTTTTATCACGATAAAACAATGATTATACTTAGAGATTACAAATATATGGAAATTAATATATAACAGGTAGAATAAGAATAATAATAATATTATATAATATAATTAATATACATATATAATTGTACATGTTAAATAATTAATAATGGATATAATAATGAAGACAAACATCCACCTCCACTTTCGATTACCTCAACGTAATTGGTATCCAGGATTCTCCTACGCAAGGTGCTGACGCCTCTGTGAAGCAGAATGATGCCGACGGCATTCCAGGTGGCCAACTGTAATATAATGATTACTCTCGAGGCCCATCTGTTTGTTCTCGAAGTGAGAGACATCGCGACAACATTACATCGACGATTAGTCGGAAGTTAAAGGCGCGACACCTCTCGCACACCTGCTGCGCCTTGTCTCATGGTAGCTACGCGAGACATTTTTATTTATATATCGCGTACGGTGGTTGGATTGGCACCGTAAACGGCGAATACACGACGTATCCCCGACGGAGATATCTACGCCGCGCGGATACCGGCGGAATTTGATGAATTTCGTTTACTCATGCAAAGATTGAACACGTCAGTTTGTTATATCATCCTGAGGCACGATGCACCGCCAGCGCTGAATTTTTATTTTTTCTATTGTTTCACAAAGAGGGAATCTATCCTTTCAGATGCGGCGATATAATACGAGATTCGTGAATCTACGTGATTCACTTTTGACGCTTGATGGAAAAAAAAGTGTAAAATTTCTCGAGCACTTTATTCTTACAGATAACATTTCGTCCAACTGAAATTTAATCCTTCGTTTTATTACGAGGCGAAAACTTTTCAACGGGGGGTGCGAAAAATTGGTTCCTTCGCACGCGCGAAGAATCTCTCGGGGATTCTTTAGTTCAGATGCATTTAAGCGCGTCGAGATGACACATCGCGATCGGGTGAACTCGATGGAATATCGGAGGCGAAGCAGAAACGAAAGATACGAGAATTTCTGTACAACATTACTAAGTCGATTCACTTTGTTGTGAAACGGTCGTCAGTCGTCCTCGGCGGCACGATTGCGACTTATTTGCTCAGTTATACGCGATGGGTCGTGGCGACCAGTAACGAATGACTCATTTCCACTACCTTGCACCGTCCCGTTAGTCCGTACGTTTTATACACACGAGACACGCAGTCGGCCTAGCGACCCTGAGCGAAAAAAAGTGATGTCTTCGCACATAAGTATTTATTAAGTATCGCAATAGTCGAACACGCTATCCGGCACACTTTCCGCGCTAATGACTGCCGAAATGAGTCGCTCTATTTTCTCGAGAAGTAGAAATTACCTATTTACGTTAATTTAACATTACTTAAATACCGTTTAAATATTTGAAAAAGATAATGCGATATTTTTTTTAGTTTATAGAATATCAGATCCACTTAGTCGTGTTGAGCGATAAAATGATGCATAGAAAGGACTTATATTCTAAAAAAAAACTCACATTGTGAAAAAGGATCACGTGATCGTTAGAAAAATTCGAACGCAATTGTTGTATGCCGACGATGCGTGTTGCATCGTAAACGTAAAGTTCCCTTCGAGGTGAGAGTTCGAACAAATCGTCATCACATAATATATATACAAATTAATATTGACAATATATTCAATTATATTTAAATTAGATACTATTTGATTATATGATAATGTAACTCACAGAATAAAAGAAGCTAGTAAATAGATGAATAATAGAAAAAAAAATCATAGGAACTCTGGATAAGCGCGCGTGGCAGCGCCGTCTAGCGTAAAGTGTGGCAATTAATTTCTCACGGCGCTACGTTCAATCATGTCAGAGGTGGATAATTTTGTGCTGGTGACTCGTCGTGGCAAACGTCGTAATGGGAGGAGGAATTTAGGTGGAAACGCGACTACGTCAAGCGTGACCGAGGAACAGGACAGCGAGATCGATCTTGAACTTCTTCTCCGGTAAGCCGTACCGCGATCGACGTCTCGTGTCGCAACAGCGAGACGAAAAACTCGCCAGTCGCTTTAACCTAACCTAACCTACAGTCCGTCGCGTTTGACTTTAATCACAATCGCATTTTTTTTTTTTACGGCGATTTTCAGCACGTTAGACAAGACGATAGTCGAGATCAGGGATACGTCGTTTACCAGGTTTGTTGTCAGCCGGCTGACGGAGTCCTTAGCCGTTCTAGGCTCCAACGGTATTTCCGAGATAATCTGCTACGGGTTGGGACAGTTCTCGCAGTATAGGTCGTCGAGATGTCAGCTGGGGCTTCTGCTGTGCTTGAAGGCGCGATACGAGCCGGCTCGCGTACTCGTGTACGACCCGGTGTTCCGGCCCGAGGAGGTGCGGGCTCTGCGTACTCTGGATCTGGATGTTATAGATGTGAATGAAGAAGGCAAACGCGTCATCCAGCGAGATAGGACGACTCTCGTATACATGCCGCATTGTTCACGACAGCTGACCAATAATTTTCTGTATGCGAACTGGGGAGATGGATTGAGCGATTGCATCCTACTTGCTAATAGTCTCTCGAGGATTGTTGATACTTGTTTACATAAGGACATAATAGATATGGCGGGCTACATACTGCGCATTCAACCTTATGTTACAGAGATTCGATTGGAAAATTTCTTTGCGTACGAGGAAGTTTTTAACGACCTTAACATTCATATTTTTACCAAACAAGACTTACTTAAAGTCCCAGCAGATTTCTGGAGCTCTAGAGAGGAACCACGGTATATTAAGGACGTTGAGTTTATTACAGCCACAAAGTGATAGATAACATTCGATACACTGTAATTATCTTTTTTCTTTAGGGATTAGGGGATTACTTGTGATATAGAATGCAATCTTTTTCCCAATAGTCATGCAACTAACTTATTCATTTTGCTTTTTAGAAAACAGCGAAAATGAATAATAATATTAAAATTATTCGTTCTCTTGCACAAGAGCTGCGCCGAGTCTCGCAGAATAAAAGCATAAAGGAAAATGCAATGTTGCAATACATCATGGAACAGGCGCATGCTCATAAAGAGACATCTCAAATTTTGTGTAAAGCACGAGAAGAATTAAAGAACTTAGCAGAGATGTATCTTTGCTATTTAAAATCTCAACAGGCATGTAAAGAGATTCATAAACAATATTCTGGTAAAGGAGAACGTAGTATAAAAGAAACTGCGGATCTTGTGGGTTTCAAATTACCTCATGATCCTAAATAAAATAAATTAAATAGAAACTGTTAAATTGTTATTAGTGATAAGAGTATTTTCTGTATTATATAGCTATCTATATTTATTGTATTTTTATAAAGATAATCTAAGTGGTGATTTTCATTAAAGATTATCATAATAAACAATTTAAGTTTATTTTAGCACATCTTCATACATTTTGACTTATTTACACATATTGTAGTATGTAGGATCTACATCGAAGAATGGAAGTTTCTTCTTAAAAATCTCTTGTATATTCAATGATTGGATTACAATATAAAAGTATAAAAATATATTTTTAAAACAAGGAAAATAATATCAATAATAACATAAAAATAGTACATGTGCTTTATCGTAAAAATTATTTATAAATTTTATAAACTAAACATACATGTCAATAAAAAAAGTAATATAAAAATAGTAATGTACTAACTTAGGAATATTCCTTGCGTATACATTTTGCGATCGTTGATAATTGCATATTACTTGTACCTTCGTAAATTGTTCCAATTTTCGAGTCTCTAAAGTATTTCTCTTGAGGAAAATCCGTCGTAAAACCGACGCCTCCCATAAAGTCTATGCACTTGGCGGTGACACGTAACGCAGTTTCTATAAATGCGATATTACATATATTACGATTTCATTGTACGTGGTCTTGAATTTACGAAGGATTGCGAATTACATACCGGATGCAACTAATTTTGCCATAGCTGCTTCTTTTATCACATCCTTTTTAGCGTCTACTAATCTAGCCGCATTGTACACCAGCAACCTAGCGCATTCTAAATCAGTTACCGCTTGAGCTATTTGATGTTGCATTGCCTGCAAACAAATTACCTCTTAATATATCTTAATTCTATTCTCTGTTCTGAATTCTGAATAGACCCTAATAGACAGAGATTTCTTTCATAAAATAAACGTACCTGGAATGAGAACACATCCTTTCCAAATTGCTTCCTTTCCAACGTATATGGTATAGTTGCGTCTAAACAACCTTGTGCTATACCGATCATTTGAGCTCCTATCCCGACTCTGCCTTCGTTTAGGAATCCAGCAGCGTATTTGTATCCATGTCCAAATTCACCCAAAATGTTACTCTCGGGCACCTAGAAAAAAATAGTCTTATTTATGATATTGATTACAACGATAATTCCTTTTATGCATTTATATCTTGCAAGAGCAACTATATACAAAGAGACTTATTTCTCTTTTCATTCCCGACACATACCCTGACGTTATCAAAATGGATCATGCAAGTTCCAGATGCCTTGATGCCTAGTTTGTCCTCGGGTTTTTGTATCGCCAAACCAGGCGTATCGCGCTCCACGAAGAAAGTCGTGATGCCGCGATATCCCTATTAAATTAAAAAAATATATATATTTCGTTAATTGATCCTGTACATATTTCTTTTGTGTACATAAGAGGATTTATTTACCGCAGAAGGATTTGCGTTGGCAAAAACTAAGAAAACTCCTGCTATATCCGAATTCGAGATCCACATCTTCGTTCCGTTGATCACATAATCTGAGCCATCCTTCTTCGCTTCGGTTTTAAGAGAAAACGCATCTGATCCAGAACCGGGTTCCGTCAAGCAAAAGCTACCGGCCTAAAAAAATATCACCACTCTTATCATATAATATTTTTATCTGTCGTATCAGTATTTCGTCATAACATATGACATATAACATATAACAACTTACGTAGGTTTGTGCTAATTTAGGCAGATATTTTTTCTTCTGTTCTTCTGATGCAACTTTAATGATAAGCGAGTTGACCAAAGTATTATGGATATCAACGAGAGCAGCTACGGCTCCGTCGACTTTCGCCACTTCCTCGACAGTTAAAATAGTACTCATAAAATTACACCCTGCGCCCCCATAATCTGATGGGATTTCGAGGCCCATTAGCTGAAATTGGCAAAGTTTCAAAATGAGGCACATTAATTCACGTGTTAAAAAAAATTTAAAACATATTTAAAATCTATAAAGCTAATCTTAGGATATTTGTCGGCATATTACTAAATTGTTTTTACATATAATAGCGCAATATGTTTTCTTCCATTGTTCGTTCTACTACGTTACACCGTGTCGGTTACACGTGAGACTTCTTTTCACAGAATAACGGGAAGACCGGCACTGCACTGTAAAAGGCTGGCATTGTGATCTTATTATTAGAATTCTATAGAATTTTATAAAATTCTATAGAAAACGCGACTTTTTTTCCAAGGAGAATCTAGCAAGAAATTCACCAAGGTTGACATTATTCGGATATTATTCGCAAAAACCGATTATTATTCGTTAAAAATGTGAATTATATGTATATTGTAAAATGAAAAGATATTTATATATCACGAAGAAATCGGCCTTGTGATAAATAATAATTTGCATAAAAACAAGATACTGATAAGATATATTTCCTCATTACGAGAGTTGTATAAAAAGTATTTTTAATTCGTACAATAAGAAATATCTTGATTTCACATATGTGAGATAAAAAATGTCTCTGCAATGTATATACAAGCGATAAAGAGTATCTTATAATTCAGTTCATAACGGAAAAAGAATTTATCTGCTTTTCCGACTTTCTAATACAATATGAAACCACGCAATCACTTTTACGCAATTAATAGGCCAAACATGTTATCGTGATCTTTGTGCATTTGTGCAATAATTATTTATAATCACGGTCAGATTAACATAATTTTTGTTAGATTCAGCTGAAACATATCTTGCTTAAAACTTGCAGTTGGAAGAAATTTCTAGACTCAATTTTTCACTGAAATATGATGTTTGATGTATGTATAGAATGTTTTAGATTTTATTGAGCAAATCAATTATGAATAAGGAACAAAATGTAGGTTCAAAAACTTTTAAGATGTTATGAATTACATAAAATGATAGGTTGAAATTTTTCAATTCGAGCCGTCGATGTCAGCGAAAAATTAACAGTATCGAGAAATTAAATTACTTGATCGAGTTTAACATTGGTTTTATTTTAAATCTTGATGATTGTGTAATATCAATTCATTTTATTAGTTGTCGAGTAGGTCTCAAGTGTTCTCCAAGCAAGAGGCCAGACCGGCTGTGTATACAAATTACGATTACTTTCAATGACCGTAACACATTCAGCCGTCTGCCCATTTCAGCTCTTTACAGCCCCACCGTCTACCATATTTTCTACTTGATACTTGATCTTAAATGCGTATCAACGTCACATTCTTCTTTTATATTAAATTTTTTTTTAATTTTGTGAATCACACATTCATAAAGATGTAACTTGTGTGATACACAAAAATCCATATTTACATATCTCTTAAACAGCAAACGTAAATACAAAAAGATCAAATATCAAATAGATATTATCGATCTATTTTAATATTAAAATTTCTATTAAAAAACTTAGACTTGTATTTATAGAATATTTGCAGTATACACTTTCCTTAAATAATTTTACTCATAGCATATGCTCGTACGAACCAATAAGATCTATAAGATATTTATATACTAATTTAAATTTCGAAGATTTGAAATTCAAATCGTTTCGAAAGGGTTCATCAAACTTACGCCATTCTCGAACAGCTTCTTCAAAACACCGTCGTCCACTTTGCCTTCCTTTTCCATTTTTCGTACGAATGGAGCGATCTCTTCCTTGGCCAGTTTAGCCACTGAAAGTGTATAAAAATAAAAAGAAATTAAAAATAAAAAATTAAAAAATATTCATATCAAAGTACATGACAAAATGTAAACAAGTTTTTACAGATCTACAACGAGTTCGTTCATCATTTGACTCTGATGAATAAATTGACTTACCAGTTTCTTTCATCATTATCTCGTCATCTGTAAATTGCGTCAAAGGACCTGGATTGTGACTGAGACTTGATGCGCATAGATGCACTTTCTGCGCTCGCATCAGCCTTTGCGGTATCTGCAAAACGTATACATACTTCTATTCTAAACATCGCTTTTGCATCGTGTAAAAAAAATATTTGTTAATCACGTGCAAAAAAATAGATATATTTGTCCTTCCTATGTTACGCAAGAGATTACAAACAAGAATGTGCGTGCAGAAAATTGATGGTCTACCAATTATATTATGACGAGTTATTTAACCTTAGACCATGGCATTCAGCCACATATGCATTGTATGCTGGACAACAGAACATTCTCGAACAGGAGAATAAAACGTGGCTTCAATTTATCATATAATATTATACATTTACAATATAAAATAGAAATCGAATCAAAATAGACAATCGTAATTCGAACTTGGAAGTGTGTGACTAAATCCTCGTCTTATCTTGTTATTGTATCATTAATTCGTCGTTGTATCATTAATTGGAAAATTTCTATATAATCGTTTAATAATCTGGTGAGATAACAAATTATCAAAAATACTAACTCAAGTATAAGCTGTGTGATTGAATATTTAATCAATTAGTGAATTAATAAACGATAAAAAATATTAATAATTTAAATATAAGACGAAAAAAATAGTTTGCAACTGTTTGATATAGATAAGCTGAATATGTGCAACAATTTGCTTATTATTATTGCTCTCATTAGTCTCCTTTCTACTAAATTTACTACTAAGTTTACAGAATATATTTGTCAGCACTTTAGTAGCATATTTCGAATGTCACGAGATCGTATTGTAAATTAATTGAAGAAGTGCTCCATCCATCGCGATAGTGTCTATGGATGCTGCATGTTTTCGTAAAAAGAGTAAAAATAATGATGGAATTTTAATGCTAATCTTGAGATAATTATATGTAAAACAATATTTAATAATTATATACAATTATATAACAAATTTCCTCACAATCGTATTCCTTAGTTTGAAATTCTTCGTTGTTTTAAAAAAAAGAAAGAAAGAAACAGACACGGTGGTAATCACTATACAATTTTGAAGAAAATATCCATGAAAACCTCAGAAATGTAATAAAAAAAAAAAACGGTTCACTCGATGTTGATTCACAAAAAATTGTGTATATAAACTTAACGAAATAACGAGCGAACAAGGTAAGAATTTTGTTCATGCTCACGTACTTCGCGGAAGATGGATCGGAGCATCGTAGATGCGTTCATCGTTTATCACTGATATCTTTCACGGAAGGGTCCTCAGGAGAGATGAAGATTCCAAAAGAGTGTGTTGGCGGTCTGCAGGCTGAGTTAATACTGAGTAGGATGATTTAGTGTATGTCGAACCGGTCTCTCTTCCGTCGCCTTCCGTCGCTTCGTGCCGGTCGAACGAAGCCAATCCAGACGGATTCTTTGCACGCGTTCAAAACAGGTTGTTTCGTAATGAAGAAATAAGGAGTTAATCGCTCCGAGCTGCCAGTCTGCCTCTGCTTGGGATATCTATTCCATCTGTTCCCCTTCCCGTTTATTCGTAACGCCTATTACCGAAGAAAAAAAATAAAGAAAGCAATACCATTCGACGATAAGATTTTGACGCTCACTGAAATGGATGAGAATCAATTATTTTGTTGTCCTGAAATTGATTCTTATCAATTTCAATGAGTGTTTGCATCAAATTCTTATCATCGAATGATGGTTGAATGATTCTTTTTTTGTTTTTTTTTTTTTTTAATGTAAATGCAGTTTATTCTTACTTTGCCTGCTATCGGGAGTTCTGATAATGTTTGCATTTACGAGAAGATATTACGAAATCATCGCAGTGACGTTCATGGCTTCGTTAATTAATGACGATTTCTTTTTTTTTTTTTTGTATGTACATACGTAGAATTATCTGTATTCTAATTAGCATCATTATAGGCGATGATGGACTTGGAGAATCGTTCAATACAATCAATAAACATCTTTTCTGAATAACACGTTCTGAGTAACACGTGATTCGATAAATGAAATACTTAATCCGCTCATTTGTTCAATCCGTTCTGAAATCATTGTTGATAATTATTTACATATTTTATGTTTTTTACAATAATAATAATAATAGATACACATTGAAATATAGAGATTATACGTGTCTTCTTCTCAAAAAAGAAATTCGTTATCATAGATTATCGGTCAACACTTATCGTTCAATATCTTATGTCTATTTCTATCAATGTAGATCAATAGTTTTAATTAATTTATTATTAGTAATGCTATTAGTAATGTTAGTATTAGTATTGCTTACAATAAAATTTTTAATAGAGATTTTGATCAAATGTCGAACTTAAACAATTGATTTATTGAACAACGCTTGTATTTTATTAATGTGGAAATAATCCATTTTTGTTGTATATTATGCGAAACAAATATTAGATTAGAAAACATTAAATTATACAATTTGGAAGTTTTTCCTTAAGTGATTTTGCTGGTTGAATTGATCGATAATTTAATTTTTAATCAAAGTTGCTATAATTCATTGTTCCTTTTCTAATCTATCCTTCTTTTATGTCAAACATTAAAAATTAATAATTCCATGTGAACATTGATATTATTTAATGAAGATGTTATTAATGTTAATCGGAGCTTAATTAAACATACCTTAAAATAATTGCTTTTAACCTCATTATAGAAGCAAAAAGAGCTTGTTATTTCTTAAGTTACTTAAATACTTTTTTTTTAGATTATAATATTTTTTTAATCATCTATTCTATCTTATTTATTCGTCTGTATCTCTTTTTCATCTGATATATAAAATTTTCATTATCTAAACTATTTATTTTAATATACATGTATTCGAATACAAGAGACGAATCTTGAATATCGATTTTTGCACGATACCGATTGGTCTACAAAAGTTATCCGTCAATTGTTCATAGCGACCAATTACACTTGACAGTTACATCAGTGAGAAAAATCAAAATTTTCATATCACATTTACATTAATTTATTTGAAAAATTACGTAATCTTTTTTGATTGTATGATTGAAAAGAGACGTTGAAAAAAATAAGATTTTCAAATGCAGAAATAAAACAAAATCAACATTAAATGCTAGGGAGAAAGAGATTAAATTGCAGAGGCGTTGGTAGTCCTGTCCGCGAAAATTGCCATTATCGATGCTAGGTGGCGCCAGGAAGTTTGTCATCTTTGCGAAATCTCGTTCGACTGGTCGTTCGATGGTCCGCGTATTCATGGCCCGTTTGAGACACAATCGTGCAGTGTTTACCCGGAAAGTGTCCACGATCGGTAACGGTGACCGGTAACCGTCAGCAGCTCAACGGCCCCGTAATCGATCCCGCGTGTTCTGGCCACGCGGCGCGAAACGGAGACGTCACGCTACACGATTCTAGCTGCGAGCTTCGGTAAGAAGCGCATGTGAGAGAGAGGAGGAGTGAGAGAGAGAGAAAGACATCGCGTCGGAACGGTACCGCGCAGCTTTGTCGCGGTTTGTGGATGCGCGGACGGTAAATCTTGGCCTGCCGTGGCAGAGCGACGGCGGGAGGAATTTGTGCGGGAAATCGCCAGTCGAGAGGACTGTCGGACCTGACGTCGTCGACGGAGGCAGAGAAAACAAGAAGCGGTGGCGGAGGCGGTGGCGGAGGCGGTGGCGGCGGCGGCGACGGTGACGGTGACGGTAGCGGCGAAGGGGGAGGTGGCGGGGGGAAGCTGTTCATCGAACGGAACAGCCGCGCGCGCGGAGGAGCGGCGATACGCGGAGCGCGGCCCGAGCTGCGTTCGTTGTACGGTTCGTGAAACGGGCGCGGGCATATCTCGGGAAAGGAGAAGGCGGTGGCTGGCGGCGATTCCTTGGTAGGTAAGTCCGCTTCGCCAATGTTACGCGCGGACGTCGCCGTCGCCCGCGACGACGACAACGACAACGACAACGACAACGACAACGACAACGACGAGGATAATGATGATGACGAGTGACGGCGATCCCGAGCTCGCGAACCGTAACTTACGGACGAAGTCGCTCCTGTTTGATCGCTCGCCGTTCGGCGCCCGACGATGAATGACGTAGGCGTGAGGGGTGTGTCGGCCTCTCCATCCGCACGGCGTCGCGTCGCGTCGCGACGCAATGTAACGCAACGCAACGCAATGCAAAGCAACGCGACGCGAGGTGATGCGACGCGACGTGGCCATGCGACTCTCCGTCGCCTCGTCGGGCGAACCGCAACCGCTCCGTGGCGGTTCTTCGCTCCGAGTGTCAACGTCAAAGGAGAAAGAGAGAAAAAAGAGAGACACACATCGGGTTTCACGTTCTCGCGTTCCTGCCCGTCGATTCCGAACGGTCTCCCGAGACGCGGTTCCCCAAATTCGCATCCCTCCCCAAAAATGTCGCCATTTTCATCAGCATTGCTCTCCGTCAATTTTGTTCCTCACGCGCGGATTACCCCGTGATATCTCTTATCGCGTCTACGTATCTCGAGTACGCTCTCTCGCTACGCGCTGCTCTTGATGCACGGGCTAAACGTCGTCGTCGTCGTTGTCATCATCATCATCATCATCATCATCATCATCGTTGCGCTTGGCTAATTGTGTTCGTCCATGCCATGGAACTACTGCCTTTTGAACTTGCCCGTCACGAGCGGATCCGGTGTGATATCATCGGGTTCCTTTGCGCCATGTCAGAAATAATTTCACATATTTCGTCGTTATAATCGAATTCCGCTGGAATTCTAAGCCACGACGCGCCCGGGTGCGAATAGGCTATAGATAGATCTATGGAGGGAGAGAGAAACAAAGAGAGAGAGAGGAGGGAGGGAGAGAGTCACCGATTTCTCTCTCGATAATTCTTATATTCGTTTCGACGATTCGGACATTACAATATCTTCGATAATAAAGGCCACAACTTTGGTTTAGAGACCTACATTCGCACTTGAAGCAATCGCTTCAGTGTTTCTTCAGTAAAAGCGTAGCGAAGTGAACACTGATGAATCATTCAACAGTGAAAAGAGATAAAAACTTTTATATATATATATATATAAACTTGTATATAACTGTAATAAATAATATTAAGCTTTCGCTTAATATTATTTATTACAATTATTATAATCGACAATTGTATATTCATTCGGCGTGATTAATCATGTCTTTTTTTATTGCATTTCTCTCTTTTTCTCTTCCTCCGTTGCCGTTACTTTCGTTTCTCGTAACACTGATATCGTTACAGGACGCTCGCTCGCTACGACGGGCGTAATCTACGATTAACCATGACGTCATTGCGTTAAGTGTCCGCCGTCCGGCGTCGAGCCGGTCGAGCGTCCGACGATAATCCGCATTCGTTTTGGCGTATGATGTCAGCATTAGTGGAGCGACAAACACATCCGCGACGCGATGCCATTTTGTCAAAGGTACGACGTCGATCTCTCCGCCGCTTCTCGATCGACCTGGCCGATTTATTATCATTGTGGAGGTTTATCGATCGCTCGTCCCGTTGCTCCCTAACAATTACGGGAACTCGCTCGGACGTCGATAACCCGACGAGCATAATTTGAGGGGGAAAATCGGTGACTTAAGGCAATGCACCTCTACGTTTAAGATCGTCCGAAGTAGGCTAGATCTTAAGGTCACCCAAGATCACATTTTAAACTATTTTAATCCTCTGTAATTCAAAATTTTTTCGCTTGAAAAAATTTACATAAGTAGCAAAAGTTGACCTTGAAGTATTGACTATTAATTTTTTAATGTTTTATTATTTAGAAATCAAAGTCCTGACTCCTTATTACAGATCAAATCAGATTATTTGGTTGTCAAGGAATGACATGCTACAATAGTAAAATATTATGATGAAAATAAAGTAAGATTTAAAAAATAGATTTATGAATATGTAACTTTAAAGTTGATGGCATTATAGAGGATTAAATCTAAGATTGATCTACAAACATCCCCCTTTCTCCCCCCTCCCCCCTCTTTCTCTTCTCCTGTCCTGAGGTTGATTTCGAGCAAAGCTCCGTTTAACTTAATCGGCGATTAACTTATCAAGTGGTACCTGTACCATTTTGTTAGCCTGGATAAGATTATCAATTTTTGTTATCGTTTAACATGTAGAGAGAAAGATTAGAGACAACACATTATTGAGTTATGAAATTTTCTCAAGCGATTCTGCCGATTAAATTATCTTAATCGGCAATTAATTTATCGTGCAATATCACTATTTAAATCATATTATTAACAATGAGAATTAATTTCTTGCTGTAAAAGGAAAATTGGAGAGACAATAAATTATAGACTTGGAAATTTTTCTTTCATAAATTAATTGCCGATTAAGTTAAAATCGTTCTTGTCATTCATTTTTACTCAGTTGCCTTTAGTTTCGATTTAATTTACTTTTTATCTTTTTCTTTACTTCTCTGAACGAAATAAAGATAAAAGGCAAATTAAATCGAAATTAAAATTTATCAA